AATTTAATTTTTGCGTGATATCTGGAAGGGAGATCGTCACATAATTTAGCCAATGAAATCAAATGTCCACTATGCTTATATAAATATAAATATAAATATAAAAAGATATATTCTAAATATGTTTTTTAAATTGTATACACCACTTTATAATTACACCCTGAGTATATCTGTTATTGTTGTTTAAAAGTCCTTCTTGTTTTTTATATGCATCATAGAAAAATCAAGATACAACCTATTATATGATGACAATGACGATGATGATGATGATGATGATGATGATGATGATGATGATGATGATGACGATGGTGATGACAATGGTGATAGTAATGATGATGGTGATGATAAAAAACATATTGGATATTCAGAAGAAAGTTTAGATGAAGAAATAAGAACATTATTACTAGCTATTGGCGATGTAAGAATTTATTAATTGATAATAACAATAATATATATATATATTATACGTCAACCAACCAATTGGTGTGACTAATAACTAATTCTCATATATAAAAAGACATTCTTTAAAAAATTTCGAAGAGAAGATAACTCTATATTTAAAGCTTCACAAGAGGCGATAAAGAAAAGTGAAGATGAATTTGAACAATCAATTCAAAAGCAATTTCAACGAAAGTATGCAAGTAAATTTTCCATCTCTTTCTCTTGCACTTGTATAACTACTTGATTATTTATAAAATTAAAATTTTTTCTGATAAAAAATCAGACGAGATCTCTTTGAATATTATATAAAAACCTACAAGTCGATCAGCGAAGAAACCCAAAAGTTTATAGACGAATTAAAAAATGATAAAAGTACGGAAGAAATGGATCAAACTATAATTGAAATGGAGCAGATTGAAGCTGATAATTAATTTTAAAGTTTTATTTACACTATGAATATATTATTTGCTGCTATAATAATAAAATTGAATCTAAACTATAATGAATTATATAGCATTCTTGAATCAATAATTTTATGACAGATTAAAAAGATTCTATATACACACAGTCAAACATCATTTAAACGAATCCATAGAACGCATACCAAAATTACTAATCACGTTCCAACAAATTTCATATGTTTTTAAAAAATCGTTTAACGCGAATTTAATTATAATTCGTTGAAACGAGGTTTGACTGTCGCAATGTTTGCTCAGATGTTTAAAATGAAATGTAAAACGTTTAAAAAAACTCTATTGTTATTGAATTGAGCTAGAGTTCCTATTCGTAATACAACTCAATTAATTCGTTTTATTCGAATAGGAACTCCAAGTTGAGTAGGCTCGAGTTAAAACTTGAATTTTCAAGTTCAAGAAAATAGAACCTTAAATTGTTTTTAGGTAATATAAATAAAATAAAAGTATTATGAATTAATCATTCGTTACCTAAAAAAAATCTATGTAACATCAAGTTCGTTCGGAGCTCTACTATTGAAAAATGGTTGAAACAATTATAATAGTGACACCAAATATGTTTGGGAGTGATGATATCAAAGAATAAATTGTGGTTGTATGGATCAGATTATTACTAACAAATAATTTATTAATGGATAATTTGGTTTGTTATTTGAGTTATAAGAAATTATTATAAAACTTATTACATTGAATTCAGGTCGCTTACAGTCTCCGGCGAAAGTAATGGCGGTGATAATTTTTTTAAAAACTAAAAATTTTTAATAAGCAACTATCAATAAAATT